GTCGGTTCAAACGGAAAATAATAAAACCAAATGGAATTATACAAGTCATTAGAAAGTTCGTTCTTTTAAAAGGACAAAAAAAAAATATTTAAAATATATATGTTATAATAATTTGAGTTTAAAATGTATGCAAGAGAGGCGTGGGAGAGAGTTTAAAATAAGGGATTGTTTGGGGTGTTTTAAATAAGTGTACTTGTTGTTTTTTTGGACTAAAAAATTGAGGAAGAAAATAAAGATGTTTGGTTTAACTTTTTGACTTTTTATAAAAAAATTTATATTAAAAAATTATATAAAAAAATATGTAGGAGAAGATTAGACTATGAGTTGTACGGCGTACTGGGGTTGAATTGTAATTAAGAAATAGTTGCCTATTTTGGGGGTATTACACTGGACGGTGCTGTTCGGCCCGTGGGGGCTATCACGGGTTCCGTTTTGATAATCTGAACCATTCAATGTGTAGAACTCGTTGAGTACTATATGGCTATAAAAAATCAAATTGAGCGGGTATCGATAGCTATCTGATCAGATTAGTTTTTTTCAATCGTAAACTATAACACCATCCAACTTTTTATACAAAACTGATTTGATCATGTAGTTAGCGATATCGGATCAATGTGATTTTTTATAAACATATAATACTGGACGAGTTCTACATATTCAACGGTTCAGATTATCAAAACGGGACCCGTGATGGCCCCCAAGAGCCGAACAACAGTGTGTTAAAATTGCACCCTAACTGTACAATTTTTCTATAAAAACGCAGTCACAGATCTGAACCGATCAGACTGAGAGTTGTAATTTTGTGTGTAAAATTTATTTATTTATTTATTTTTTGGTGAATAATTATAACTTTTTTACTTTTTTGGTAACTTATTAATTTTTTGACTTTTTCTAGGTACCCCAAACCAAGCCTTAATTTATTTAATATATTCCTTAAATACATTTATTTTAAAGACGTAGCTTCCCTCCAGCCGTGGGTTGGGATTGGATGTTGTCTGGGCTCATAAGTTTCATCACAAGTCTCGTTTCAATAATTTAAAATGTTTATTTTGTCACACCTTTTGTCTATATCATCTACACACAAAAAAAATAGGTAAGTCCAATAATCTTACTCCAATAAATAAGAGTTTTATAGATCAAACTTTTTTATTCCTAAAAAAAAAAAATTATTGCAAAAAACATTTGGGGACAAATTCATATTATTGTGAGTATAGTCGCTAAAAGATTGTCTAAAAAATTTCAGGAAAAAAAAAAGACTTTTAAAGATAAATTTTAAAAAATATCATTAATAAATACACTTTTAAGGACAAAATAGTTTAATCTCAAAAACTAAAATGTGTAATAGGATAGAAGATGATTTAGTAACTAATTAACATATATTACAAAAGATATTACTTGAAGTTTTGATGTCGAACTTACTATACATATTTTAATATATGTTATAAAAATTTGATAATCACAACATTTTTAGATAGTTAATTTTAGTTTACGAAGACATATAATAATAATTACTATTATTGTTAAGTTAGTCCATACAAAAAAAAAATAAAAAATGATAGATTATATGTTTTACTCAATTATGTTGACAAAAGGTGTTGGATTAATAATAATATTATTCTCTTTTTTGTTTTGCTAGAAATGAAATTTTAAATTTTTCAATAATTTATTATTATTAAAAGTTACTTGTGTTTTGTCTTCAAAATTCGAATCCTGAACCCGGCCACATATTTATAAATATAAATAATATTATAGATAAATCAATATGTATTTATAATTTGTGACCTTAAAAAGGTTTTTATTTTATTTTATTTTATTTTATAGATAAATTATGATATTAGTCCCTATATTTTGGTCTTTATATCATTTTAGTCTCTATAATTTCAATTAACTCGATTTTAACCCTAAATTTTTAATTTTGTCTCAATTTGGTCTAATTGATTACAACTCTTAACATTTTTTTATAAAAAAATACTCACATAAGTGGCATGTGTCATATTTTTATGAACAAAATTATAAAGCTATTAAACTCAGTGAGTTAATCTCAACAAATTTAGTGATCATTTTTCATAAAAAAAAATAAAAATACGGACAACATTATCAATTGGACCAAATTAACACAAAATCTAAAATTAAGGTCAAAATTGAACCAATTAAAATTATAAGAATCAAAATAAAGCTACCGGCAAAATGTATAGACCAACAGTATAATTTGCTATATTTATTTATTTATTTATTATTATTATTATTTGAATGATTGGTAGGGATGACCAGATCCTGTTCGGTGGACTTCTATTCTACATAGTAAACATGACTGTACCCGGGGCTTCTCACATACCAATATGGAGAACAGATGGTGTAGTCGTCACGGTATTGCTTCATATGGGACCAGTGGAGTTTCTCTATTACTGGCTCCACAGAGCTCTTCACCACCATTACCTCTATTCTCGCTACCATTCCCATCACCACTCCTCCATTGTCACCGAACCCATTACATGTAAGACAATTTGTACATTAACAATGCTATGCTATGCTAAGTGCACATAAACAGTGCACAAAAATTGCAATTTATTTCACATCTATTACATATGAACACAAATAGGGGTCACGCCACTCAGGAGTGTCAACCTATCACCCTACAAAAAACAGCCTTCAATTATTATTTTTTTAATGGTAAAAAATTTATTTGTTAATTAACTGATCCTATTGAAAAAAAATAAGGGATTCCATCCATTGGGTAATTCTACTCACTGTAAAAAAAAATCCTTACATCCATTGGGTTGAAAGTTGGTCGCCAGGAATAGAAGGAGTCGTCCTTGCGGCAGTGATAGTGGTGCTTGCATGTGGAGATGGTAGTGAAAAGGTTGGTGGGTTAAAAATTAGGATTAGGGTTTTAAGAAATTTTTTGATAATTTTAAATAAGGATAAAATTTATAAAACAAAAATAAATAAAAAAAAAGAAGAAAGAAAATTATGAATGTTAAAAAAAAAAAAAAAAGGTTTGTGCAAATAGAATTACCCCCCATCTATCAGAAACCAAAACCTTTTTGTAACCTAGTCCTTCTCTATTATATATATTTTTTTTCTTCTGAACACTCAAACCAAATGAGAGAACAATAGTTAAATGATAGATAAATCATGTAAAATAAATAAAAATAAATAAATAAAATGTATTGACACTATTGACAATAAGATTATCATGTAATAATTAAAAAAAATGACATTTCATCAAATATGATTGAAAAAGAATTTTTTTAAATTTTTTTGGTTAAGACAATAGTATTTTGTTAAAAGTTTATTTTGTTTGCAGGTGACGAAGTTCAAATGTTAATTAATTTTTAAAAAAAATTTTAATAAAATTTATGGAGCTTATTTTTTTGGGAAAAATGCCAAAGCAGTGATATTTTTAAAAAATAATTACAATTTAGTGATCAATTTTATAAATATTAATAATTATAATTATACAATTTTTCATTAATATGTAACTATTTTTTCAAAATTCTATTGTGGTGTAATTACCCCTAAATTTTGTAAGCATTCCCATTTATAAAATTTTCTAGACTCGTCACTAAATATAGAGGACTAGGGGTACTCGTGAATCGGGTTGGTTCGGGTGACTTCCCATTCGCCATCTGTCCGAACTTGGACAGATTAGAAAAAAAAACTGTATTTATCCGCTTAGTTAGTAGATTCTAATTAAGTGAGTCGTGCGGGTTAGCGAGTGGATGCAGATCGATATGGCAGTTTGAACTTAAGTGTTTTATTTATTTATTTTGAACTATTTTAGAGTAATTTTTTATATTATTTTTGTCCTTTTTTGAGTCCAAAATTTTTTGTTCTTCATTTTTTATAACAAAAATAAAGACAATTTTCATATTTCATAAATAGCTAATATTATTACTAAATATAATATATTTTTGTTAAAATACAAAGTAAAAAACATAATGTGTTTGATTTGAGTTTTCTGAATTAAGTTTTTTGAAAATCGAATTTTTTGATTTTCGTGTTTTTTTTTTTGTTTTTAGGGAATATTTTTAAAATTTTAAACATTTTTTTTACCTTTTTAGATGCACCTTACTTAGATATATCTAAAAAGTAAAAAAATTGTGAAAAAATATTTTGTGTTTGATTTGAGTTTTCTGAATTAAGTTTTTTGAAAATCGAATTTTTTTATTTTTGTGTTTTTTTTTTGTTTTTAGGGAATATTTTTAAAATTTTAAACATTTTTTTTACCTTTTTAGATGCACCTTACTTAGATATATCTAAAAAGTAAAAAAATTGTGAAAAAATATTTAAAAAAATTAATAAATACAGAAAAAATACAAAAAAAATATACTTAATTCTTGTATTTTTTTTTGTATTTTTGGTATTTAGTGGATTTTTAAAAGATTTTTTTTACAATTTTTTAACTTTTTAAGTATATTTATGTTAGATATGTCTAAAAAGTAAAAAAATTGCTTAAAATATTAAAAAAATTTAATAAAAACAAGAAAATACAGAAAATAAAAAAGTAGAATTTTCTAAAAAGTGTTTTTGAAAAAATGGAACCAAGCAAAGGGAATTGGCAGATTAGGTTGGGTCGGGTAACTCTCATCCGTCATTCGTTCGAATATAGACGAATTTAAAAAATCTTCATCCACATCTGTCTGCCCATACTAACAAAACCGTTTAAAAGCGGATAGATTGGATCGGATTAGTCAGTTTTGGTGGATTGATTAGGTCCATGAACATCCATACAAAAGACCAAACATAAAATAGACACAAATATCTTACAAAAGATAACTCCCACATATAAATTCAACATCATGTAAGTCTCACCCCTTATAAAAGATCTATATCTATTCTATGTTTGTTCCTATGTACACTTATATATTTTTTTCGTAAGCCCATCATAATTCCACCTAATCTAATATGACAGACAAACCTGACCTATAAAGAAGAATGTTTAATTACTTTAAACTATGGGAAACAATTTTATTATTATTTTTTATTTAAATTAATTAATGTGGGCAGCTGTAATTCATCCATTTGCGGAGCATATAGCATATTTTGTGCTGTTTGCAATACCAATGGTCACCACAGTGCTTATTGGATCAGCCTCGTTGGTCAGTGGCTTTGGTTATATCACCTACATTGATCTGATGAACAACATGGGACACTGCAATTTTGAGTTCATTCCCAAGTGGATTTTCTCCATTTTCCCACCTCTCAAGTACCTCATGTATACCCCCTCGTAAGTCTCCCATTCCTTTTATACTTGTTAGTCCATGCTCTTCTTCTTCAATTAATTTTGGCAACTATTTTTTATTCAATATTATATCACAAATATAATTGGCTTCAATATTTTATTCAAGACTATTTATACAATAAAAAAAATGATATTTTAGTCATTCAATTCAATGTAGGTATAAAAAAGTAGTTTAAAATATTCTTTTTCATTAAGTTTAATAACTAAAATTTATTTATTTATTTATTGTTAGTTTTACTTAAAGAAAATAAAAATACGATTTAGATTGAAAACAAATTAAAAGTTTTAGATTTCAATTGAGAAAATTAAAATTTAAGTGTATTTTGTTACTAGGTCAAACCCTAGGATTTTCTTCTTTTTTTTTGTAATTTTTTCAAATATGTTTTTTTGTCATTTTAGTCACTAATATTTCAATTGTGCCAATTTTTTTTCTCAAAATATTAAAATTTGTGTTGAAATGAAAAATAAAAAAATAACCCGGTTACAAGTTGACAGAATTGAAATTTTGGAAAGAAAATGCATATTATAAGACTACTGGTGTAATTAGCATTTTTTTTTTTTTTGGGCTTATGTGTAATTTTATGTTCTAAAAATACTCTCAATTCTGACAAACAAAAATTTAAGAAATAAATATTTTAGTTGTCAAAATTGTAATTATTGTATTTTTAATTATGAAATTAAACATTTAGTGATAAATTATTATTCTTTTGTGACCAAAGTCTTGTCTAAAAAAAAAAAAAATTGACACGAACTTATTTTATATCTAAAAATGAATTTACAAAATTTTGTAACTAAAAATTCCTTTTTTGATTTACTTGTCAGTACGGCCTTTTAATGACAGCTTCCTATGACAGCAGGAGCAGGAATTGATTTTCTGTTTTTTTTTTTTGCAAGATTATTTTCACTTTCAAAAGTTACAAAAAAGTTAATACTTAAAGCCCTTATATATTATAATAATGATAACAACTATCATGAAAATCACATTAACACGAGTTTTTAATATTTTCGAGACAATAATCAACAGAATGGAAATATTGAAGACCATCGAAAAGAAAAATTGACTGGTAGTGTTGTTATGTACACAGAAATAGTAGTCATATAAGCTAATACCCTTGTATGTTGTAATGCTCAGATCTACCATCCAAAGTTTTTTTCATATTTCATTGTTGAGATAATATTTCTGAGATTCATGAATATTATCCCCGATAATGTTCAATTGTGGTTACAACCTATCTTATCATTGTTATGTGTCTATTCTAATCATGTATAAGTCGTATAAGTTGCACAAAATCATTCATATCAATGTATGTTAAAAACACATCTTCAATTGAATAATATATTAAGTTTAATTCAATTAATTTTTTCAACTTTCATACACTTAAAATTTGATAATGATTTTTTTTATTTATTTTTTTGTAATTACAGATTTCATTCTCTGCATCACACTCAATTTCGGACAAACTACTCACTTTTCATGCCGATATACGATTACATATATGGCACCATGGACAAGTCCACAGATTCACTACATGAAATATCACTGAAAAGAGAAGAAGACTCACCCAATGTAGTGCACCTAACACATCTAACAACCCCAAACTCCATCTATCATCTTCACATAGGGCTTGCTTCCTTGGCCTCCAAGCCTCAAATGTCACAATGGTACCTGTGGCTCATGTGGCCTGTGACATGCTGGTCCATGATCATCACTTGCATCTATGGCTCTGCCTTCATTGTAGAGAGAAATACCTTTGGGAAACTCAAGCTACAGTCATGGGCTATTCCAAGATACAACATACAAGTAAGAGGATATATATATTTTGTTCTGAGCCAATAATCCAACATATTTTTGGTTATTTATTTATTTTTTAAAAAATTTATTTCGAGTACATGGGAGGTTGTAGCTTAGGAAAGGGGTACCATGGCAAGACTTTATCTTTCAGTGAAGTGCAAGAATTTTGCTTAATTAAGTTAGTCCCAATTGGTCATATTTGGTGGGATTTGGACTTGGCACAATAGTAAATTAAAGGCACTGTTTATACCATATCTTGATAATTCAAACTGTTTATTTTTTAAATCACAACGTAAAAATCATCCATAAAAAAATTGAGTTGATCAAATAAATATAATGACGTTAGTATATTACATTTGTTTTTCAAAAAATAAATGGTTTATTTTTAAATAATATTTGTCTTTCATTTTTTTGCAAATAAATGTCATGAACTAACATGATTACGATTATTGGATTGATCTCTTTTTTTTTTTTAATGGATGGTGTACACATTGTGATCTAAAAAATAAATATTCGAATTATCAAAATAAAACTCACGGTAGATCTTACAAATCCAAACAAATACAGTATAGTCTACAAAAAGGGAATAGAGACAAGTTGTGGCCATAGTAAAATTGTTCCAATGTGAAGTTGGTGTTATGGGTTTAATCTTTTCACACTTAAATGTAGTCGGAGTCTTATGCATTGAAACTTTTGGGATATTTAAGTCATGCAGATTTAGGCCTTTTTAGAGACGAAAGAAAAAGCTTGCCTTTGGCTTATTTTCAAAAAGTCAAAAGCCAGCTTATTTGAACCCAAAAAAACATTTCAAAAGTTGAAAATAAGCCAAGTAAATTACTAAAATACCCTCATGTGTGTGAATAAGCCCCCCCCCCCCCAAATATATATATATATTGCATTAGGGTAATATGGTCAATTTACAATTTTTCAAGTAATGTGACAACATATTAAAATAATTTTGAAAAAAGAAAAAAAGCTTGCTTATTTCTATCTTCTCAAATGATTTTGTGAATAAGTCAAAAAGCAAAAAAACTGCTTATTTCTATCTGTTTGGGGTTTGCTTATTTTGGTAGTTTTTTTTATTTATTACTGATTTTCTTTAGTAATTTTTTTTAAAAAAAATTCAAAAATATTTAGACTTCTAAATTCAACTCGACGAGACAAACTGAAAAATTAAAAATTATCAAAAAAAAATCTAGAAAAAACAAAAATAAGCAAAAAATAGTGGACTTTTTTTTTTTTTGCTTATTTTGATTTTTTTTTTTACTTTTTATATTATTCTATCCAAGACAAACTGGAAAAATAAAATTTTGACAATTAAAAAAGAAAAAAAAGAGTGGCTTTTTTAATTTAACAGTGGCTTAATATAGCCACTTTTTCTCGGGTGATTATTCAATACTCCCGGAGTATGGATATGTGGTACTCCATAAGATTTTGATTGGTGGAGAGGCACAAGGGCCCACGATTTATGTTGGAGATGAGAGAACAACATATGGCTAACTAATTGGTGATTGGTTTAGAATATGGACACGTGGTGCTCCGGGAGTGTTGCATAATTTCCCCTTTTTCTCTATCACAAACCAAAAAAAAAATCTTGCCTGTTTAGAGCATCTCCAATGGGAGCTGCTATTTCACTTGCCAAAGTTAAAAAATGACAAGAATGGCAAAAACAGGTCTCCAATGGTCTGCTATTTCACTTGCCTCCGTGGGCCGCGGGCCAATTTTATACTCTTATCAATGTGAATGTTAACATGTCAATGTGAATATTCACATTGTCAACGGACCGGGCCAGGCCCGCCTATGGGCCGCGGGTGGGTTTCGCGCCGCCACGGGACGGGAGCCAATTTTACACTCTTATTAATGTGAATGTTAACATGTCAATGTGAATATTCACATTGTCAACGGGTCGGGTCGGGCCGAGTCGGGCCCGTCCTGGGCTGCTGTCTAGTTTTATACTCTTATCAATGTGAATGTTAACATGTCAATGTGAACATTCACATTATCAACAGGCCGGGCCGGGCCCGCCCACGGGCCGTGGGCAGGTTTCAAGCAGCTACGAGGCGCGGGCTAATTTTACACTCCTATCAATGTGAATGTTAACATGTCAATGTGAATATTCACATTATCAACGGGTCGGGCCGGGCCCGTCCCGGGCTGCGGGCGGGCTTTCGACTGCCCATGGGCTGCGGCCCAATTTTATACTCTTATCAATGTGAATGTTAACATGTCAATGTGCATATTCATATTGTCAACGGGCCGGACCGGGCCCGCCCCGGGCCGCCCATGGGCCACGGGCGGGTTTAGCGCCGTCACGGGATGGGGGCCAATTTTACACTCCTATTAATGTGAATTTTAACATGTCAATGTGAATATTTACATTGTCAACGGGCCGAGCTCGCCCTGGCTCACGGGCGGGTGTCGGGCCGCTCACGGGCCAATTTACATTCCTACAAATGTGAATTTTAAAATATGAATGTTCACATCATTAAATTGCTAATCGTTAAAAAAATATTCATAAGGGTATCAAAATTAAATATAAGGGCGTAAGTGTCCAAGAAAATAGTGTAAATCAAGAAAATGGACTTTATGGAATAAAACTATACATATATGGGACTAAATGGATTAAAAAATTTATTTATGGACTTCTTAGGTTAAAACACTTCTAAATTGAACATACCAATAAAAATTCCTTTTCTAAACGCGTCAGTGCTTGTAACAACCATTTTAATAACAAAAATAAAAAAAAATTCCAAACCCCACCTTAATTATAGGCTTCTTGTTGATTTTTGGGTTTTGTATACTTCTTCTTCATCCTTTTTTTTTTCTTTTCTTTTTTCTTTTTGTGTGTGTGTGTGTTGATATGTTGGTGCAGTACTTGTTTAAACGGCAAAGAGAAGCCATCAGTGGCTTGATTGAAGACGCTATACTAGAAGCAGAGGCAAGAGGCATTAATGTGTTAAGTCTAGGTCTTTTGAACCAGGCAAGTTGGTGCTTTTCTCTCTTGATTATTTTTCAACCATAATGTGACCAATCTATGTTTTTATTTATTTATTTATTTATTTTTATTTTTTTGTCTTTATGAGAAAAATGGAACCTTTTTTTTTGTATTTAAATAAATAAATATACTTTTAAAAATTGATCAATTAAACTTTCACTCAATAGTGTGAACAGAATCAAATTGAAACTAGGATTAAATGAGTCAAATTGAAACAATAGAAATCAAATTAACATTTGGATCAAACTACACTACCCTTTAAAAGTTTAGAAGTCTAAAGTTGAGGAAATAAATTGTGTAAATTATTTTTGTAGGGTGAAGAACTTAACAATAATGGGGAGGTTTATATACAGAGGTACCCTCAGCTCAACGTGAAGGTAGTTGATGGAAGTAGCCTAGTAGTAGCTATTGTGCTGAATAGCATTCCAAAAGAAACAACACAAGTCCTCCTTGGAGGCTGTTTATCCAAAGTTGCTTATTCTATTGTCTCTGCTTTATGCCAAAGAGAGATCCAGGTAAGCCGCCCATCTCACCTCCATCATCAATAAGGCTTTGTTTGGCAACACTTTTTTTTTTTTTTTTTTTTGTCGCCTTCATTTGCATTTTTAAAAATAATATCATTTCTTTTTCGTTTTATTGGCTTTTAGTCTAAAAAGATAGCTAAAATAGTTAAAAAATCGGCTTACAAGTTAGGGTAAATTATCAATAGGTCTTAATAACACATTAAATCATATTGAAAGTTGGTTCCATTAAAATCATTGCTGAAATTAATTTTTATGGTGATTATTTTTTTTTTTTACATATATCGCTAAAAATTGACAATTAGTGATTTTTTTTTGTCATTATTTTTATAAATTGTCGCTAAACATTACAATTAGTGACATTTTTCTATGACGAATTTTTTAAACTGTCGCTGAAAGTTGAAAAATAGTTAATTTTTTGTTACGATTTTTTTAAAATGTCACTAAAACTTGTAATTAGTAACATTTTTGTAACAAATTTTTTAAATTGTACTGAAAATTAACAATTAATGATTTTTTTTAATAGTATTTGATGAAAAAATTTATTAATTATCACAAAAACTATTAAATAATAAGTCCATCTATTAAGACCTATACGTAAGTCTTCTAAAAGTTATTTGCCAAAGAAAAAGGGGTTTGGTTATGGTGTGCAACTTACACCTTACACCTTATACCTTATACTTACACCTTACACTTACACCTTTTGTAAAAAATTAAACCTTACACTTACACCTTTTTTGAGGTTGCACACCATGTGCAACCCACTTACACCTTACACCTTACCCTTACACCTTACACTTACACCTTATACTTATACTTACATCTTACACTTACACTTTTTGTGTAAGTGGCACATGGTGTGCACTTGCACACTTAAGAAAACTCCAAGAAAAAGTCCACAAAGTAGTTAAATTTGGGAAATGGTGATGACAGATGTCACGTGGTACCTTTCTTTGTTGTGACTGGTTTAAGAGTGAAATAGATCCATTACATTTAAGTTTGGTTGGGAAACAACAAAAAGCATATGTATTTGTGGTTAATGGAAAGTACCACATAACAATGCTAATGGATTTCGGTTCGTTAAACTTTCATTCAGTTTGAATTCGAGTTCGAACTCGTTAAAATCTTAATAAATAAGCCTAAATATATAAAAGCTCGGTTTGACTCAACTCGTTTACAACTGTTAGTGTCACTAAATATCTTTCTAGAGTTCAATAGTTTTTCAAGCCGAGTAGGTAATTTTTGGTAAATTCTACTTGAGTTTGTCTTTGTAGCTGATCAAGCATAAAAGATTTGATTCTACTCATTTGTTAAGTAAACTAGCCGAACTCAAACAGACTTTCAATGGTTTGAGGTCAAATTCAAATTGTGTGCATTGATTGTATGATCCTACAACCCAAACGTAGCACAACATTTAGATGGGCCCGTTGGGAGAATAAAACTTTTACTGCATAATGGGATGGGGCTTGTGTTGATAGTGGGCTACCTATTTTGAGGTGTAGCTACCAATTATTTTGCATCAATAGCAATAGTATTATTGAAAGGAAAAAAGAAATATATATATATATATATATCTTATGATGAAATGAACCAACGACAAACAGATGAACCATGTTTTATTTTATTTTATTATTATTTTTAATTATCTTACAAAGGTCTTAAATTTTGTGACAGGTATCTACCATTTACAAAACTGAATATGAGAAGCTTAAGCTGGCAACTAAATTTGGAAACAATGTGGTTGTCTCAGAGAGTTATGCTGAGAAGGTAATCTTTTTATAATTTTTTCTTTTTTTTTTCCTGGAATTGGCCTTTAATAGGATCTGTTTCTATTTATTGGTATCTTTCACAAATATATGTAGCTTACATTTTATTGTAACAAGTTAGAACATAGAAATATGCAATATTTCATATGCAAAATTTTAATTGCACAAGGTTTATGTTTGTTGGTTTGTTTTTGTTTTTTTTTTCGAATGATGATTATCTTACAAATCTTTAAAAAAATTTGAATCTTCAACCTTAAAAAAAAAGTTGTTTTATATTTTTTTTTCATGTGTAGGCAACAGATTAAATGGCCTAATGATTCAGTCAACTCTAGATCCGATTTTTAAGTATACATATATATATTGTGGGATATCATCACCCCATGTGACGGGTGATCCTCCATGTGTTGCAAGGTTGGCCATGTTAGGAAGCCAACACACATGAGCTGGCCATGTGAAGCCAGCACACCAGATAGCTGGCCATATGCAAGGCCAGCCTCTCCATCTCCATTCTGATTGTGTATAAATGGAGGCTAAGGGGAGGGTGTGAGTGAGAGAGCAGAGCAAGCCAATATGTGAGGCGGAGAGACCGTCTCCCTCGGTGTGAGCGAGGGAGACGGGTGAGTGTGTGAGTGAGGAGAGTATGAGCTCCTCCTCTATTGTAATCTTTCTGTAATATCTCCATTGTTATAGTGATAACCGGCTACTCTCCCGTGGACGTAGGCATTGAGGCCGAACCACGTTAAATATTGTGTCTCCTTGAGTGTGGGTGTGTTTTTCTGCATGGAATAATTTCTATAAGGTCTTGAGCGGGATCCCAGATCCCAACAAGTGGTATCAGAGCCTCGTTGGTGGCGTTTCGGAACAAAAACAGCGTGTTGTCTGAAACTGCCCAGAAATCAAGTTGCTCGAAATACGATTTTGAGCATACCAGGAGCAAGGGCTCGAGAAGAGGAGTCCAACCATATAAAGCAGACACCCAACGGAGGCCGGATGCGCTCTCACGCGCCTCTGGAAGTTGGCGCGTGAGTCCCAGTCTCGGCACGCGCCACCACGCGCCGTTCAGGCACCCGGCGCGTGGTCCCAGTCTCCTACACGCGCCCCACGCGCTGACCAAGGAAGAAGACGAGTGGGCAGTCAGCGCGTGTCATCCACGCGCCTGGAACACGCGCAGGCCGCGTCAGCGAGACACGTCATCACCGCGTGGCAGACACGTCATCGCCACGTCATCACTCTGAGGAAAAATCCGGTGCGGCGCAGCTATGGTGCAGCCGCAGATCTGAGGCGTACAAAATGTTTTGGCTAGATCTAAGCCATTTGGAGTCCGTTTTTGGTGATCCAATAGTGGTTTCCGACTATTTGGAGTATTCCGGACACATCCGTACGGTCGGATTTTGGAGACGGAGTTTCTGTAAAAAGAAGGCAGATTAAAGAGACGAACGGCATCAGGTGCAGTGGACGGAATATTTTGTTGGTACACGGAATATTCCTTGAACTTCTGAAAATTGAAATTTGGCCCAGAATTTTCAGAAAATTGTGGTGTGGCCCAGCTTTCGGGGATAGTTTTCAGTGAGGTCCCCGAAAATGCAGCAAAGATTGGTTCTAGCTAAACGGACCGCTCCGGACGCAACCGCGAGGTCAGAATAGTGAAATTCTGAACGGTTTGGAAAGATTGTCAAAACATGGGTGTTTGCTATCTTCAATACTCGAAGGAAGGTTGCCGGATATTATGGAATGTTGCGGATTCACTGAAGAGGTTAGAATGGACAGATTCTGACCAGATTGGACAACCAGATACAGATTGAGATAGATCATTGAAGACCAGAGGAGATCAGGCTTGATCAAATGGCAAATCAAGGGAGATCAGGATTGGTCAGGAGTGATCAGAGGATTGCAAAGATGATTATCTCCGGAGTTCGTTGGAGGATCTGGTTCAATCAAAAGAGAAGACCATTCATCGACGGATAGATGATTTGGCAACCAGTTCAGGCTCAGGGAAATATTGTGGCTGTTGGAGCTACTGTATACGAGTCAGTACTGGTGGTACGTGGACGTGTAGAACAATAGTTGCAGAGGAGCATACTAAGCGCAGAAGCACAAATGCAGACGTGCAGCAGTGCAAGGGTATGGTAGAGTATCGTACAGAGACGCAAGAGGAGTATGCAGCAACGGGTTGTTGAAAGTTCACAGGAACTTCCAGACAGAGAAATTGAGACAGGTAAAACGCAGGAGTGCGTGCCAAGGAGTGGCAAGTCTTATTTCTCTATGGTGGTTTCTTTAGTTCCATGGCAGCAGATGATAGAGTTGATGCAGATCTCTGAAGCAAGCTTGACGCAGGGAGACTAGAAGCCATGGGTGCGAGCACTATGCACGGAGTTGCATAGTGGTAACTTGTACAGACCGGTGGAAGTTGTCTTGGCAGAAGGGCTAACTGTCAAACATCAGTACGGACGTACAAGTGAGACAGAACCGAACATCAGGGATTGCAGCACAGACAATGGGCGTATAAGATCGCTGGGAAGTTGTTCTGAAGTGCAGAAAGCAAAGGCTGGTTGTTCAGAAATAAGCTCCGAGCAAGGAAAATTGAGGATGTTGATGTGTCAAACTCTGAAGTTTTCTAGTTGCTCCAGTGTTCATCATGCAAGGAGTTGCACGGTAATGCAAGGGTATCCCGAGCAGGGGGTGCAGGACATCCAATCAGGGGGTGTCGGATATCTTGGTTGCGCAAGTTCAAGCATAGCAGGTATAGACATCCGAGACAGAAGCGTGGAAGAGATCTGTAGGAGATAGGAGCAGAGGCTCTCTCTAAATCAGAGAGTGGTGTGAGTTGAGTTGAGGATGTAGGATTCCCTCCTCCTCTTATATCTCTGGTGTATTATCTCTAGCTTCAGGGGGTGCAAGTATCTCAGTGAGGAGATGCAGACTATGCTGAAGACATCCGAGACAGGAAGCGTGGAAGAGATCTGTAGGAGATAGGAGCGGCGGTTCTCTCCAAATCAGAGAGTGGTCTGAGTTGAGTTGAGGATGTAGGATTCCCTCCTCCTCTTGTATCTCTGGTGTATTATCTCTAGCTTTCAAGGGATGCAGCGTCTCAGTGAGGAGATGCAAACTATGTTGAATTTGGGCGTGACAAGATTAGCAACAATGTGTGTTGTGGATCACCTCGCATGGGTTGATGGGGTGATTTGTGGGATATCATCACCCCATGTGAGGGGTGATCCTGCATGTGTTGCAAGGTTGGCCATGTTAGGAAGCCAACACACATAACCTGGCCATGTGAAGCCAGCACACCAGATAGCTGGCCATATGCAAGGCCAGCCTCTCCATCTCCATTCTGACTGTGTATAAATGGAGGCTAAGGGGAGGGTGTGAGTGAGAGAGCAGAGCAAGCCAATATGTGAGGCGGAGAGACCGTCTCCCTCGGTGTGAGCGAGGGAGACGGGTGAGTGTATGAGCTCGGAGAGTATGAGCTCCTCCTCTATTGTAATCTTTCTGTAATATCTCCATTGTTATAGTGATAACCGGCTACTCTCCCGTGGACGTAAGCATTGAGGCCAAACCACGTTAAATATTGTGTCTCCTTGAGTGTGGGTGTGTTTTTCTGCATGGAATAATTTCTATAAGGTCTTGGGCGGGATCCCAAATCCCAACATATATATATATATATATGTATATATTTTTTAAATTATAGCCTACTAGCTTATTGATTGTGTAGAGGGGAGTGGAATGGGAAGACAGGTTTTCTTTTTTCCTTCATTCTTTTCATATAAAAAGTTGTACGAGGATTTGAATCTCTGGTTATGTTTCGTTCCTCACTCCTCGTCACTTTTTGGTAAGTTAATCTCCAGTGTTTGACTCAGTAATTAATTAGTTGATATATTTAGGATCTGTGGACTATATATATTTGGGACAGCAGTGTTACATCCACGAATTTGATATCGGTTGAATTGTCTGAATTTTGTCATGCCAGTCGTCTAGTAGGTCGACCGACCAATCATTTAGATGATAGGGTGACGACCGTGGTAGACGAGAGTGAAGCTGGTCATTCGAAAAGTCATCCAACTGGCACAAATTCGGATAATTCGGGCGACACCAAATTTGGTAGATAAATCATTTCACTATTTGAGGGGATTGGTTTATAAAAAAAAGGACAAATTACAAACACCTCCCCTGAGGTTTGGTGAAAATACAGATTCTCTCCTGAGATTTGAGAAATTACATCCCGCTCCCTGAGGTTTATATTTTCATAACAAATTGCCCCCTAAGGTTTTTATTTTCATACAGATTCCCCGCTAATTTCCCCTAATTTGTTATGAAAATTTGACCCTCAGGGGGCAATTTGTAATTTCTCAAACCTCAGGAGAAAATTTGTATTTTCACCAAACCTTAAGGGGTGTTTGTAATTTGCCCTAAAAAAATAATAATAAAAAAAAGGACAGAAAAAATTGAGAGAAAAAGTTTAGTTTCTAATTTTTTTTTATTTTTTTTTTTATAAATTCAAAATTTGAACATAGCCTAGCTGAAATTAAGTCAATTTTGGATATGTATATATGTTTGAAATGAGGAAGATGGTAAATTGATGTAGATATGGTTAGTGGGAGATGGATTAAGTGAAGAAGAACAAAGGAAGGCATCAAAAGGAACAATTTTCATTCCTTTCTCACAATTTCCCCCAGAGAGAGTGCGCAGTGACTGCCTGTACCACTACTCTCCATCAATGATGGCTCCCATTTCTCTTCAAAACTTGGACTCTTGTGAGGTTAGTCACTTTACTCATTATCACACATTCATTTCTTAACTACTCTCCTATTGTATATCAAACAAAACATTCGTTTGACATGTCAAAAAAATCTAACTTTTCGATTATTTTAGCCACTAAAAAATAAAACAGGTTAAAAAATTAATATGACAAAATATCACATTCAAATCATAATTATTTCATTTTTTCTCTTACAAAAGTAAAAAAAAACCAAAAAGCTTATCTCAAATGAGACTTTTTAGCCCCAACCTAAAAAAATCAAAACGCCAGAAAATCAAAACCCCAAAAAGCCAACTCACATCCCCAACGAACCCAAAGAAACACTTTTCAACAACATTATGGCCTAAAAATGAAGATATACTTTGAAATTGGTGTATTTGGTAAAATATTAAAAACCCTAAAAAAAAAAAAAAAAGGGTCTGTTTTGCAACTTAAAAAAAAAAAAATTTTAACCCAGTATAAAAAAGTTGATTCTTTGAGTGTAAAAAACTTTTTTGAGCCTAAAAATGAAGAAAACGATTCGCTTCTATCTAAATTTAGATTGGACTGTGCTGTCCAAATTTATGGATCCTTCTTAGGTCTAATTTTAATGATTTAGTTCGTTCATTTTCTATGCCTCTTCGTGTATATTACCAACAAAAAAGTTAAATTAAATTAATCTGATAATTATAATGAGATGACCAATATGATGAAATTATATGGGCAAGATTATCGAATCAATCTAGTATTTTTTCATGAATGATCTACATACACATACCAATGAAATAAATAAATTAACTAATTAAAATGGAACTTGTGATAGATCTTATAGACCCGAAAACTACCGCTAATCCACAATGTGAGATAAAGACAAGCCCATTCCCAAAAAACAAATAGTTGAAAAACTGAAAAGTTTTAAACCAACACCTTAATATGACAAAGTACAGCCGTTTAAACATTAAATTTTAAGCTAAATAAAATGTATTTTGTTCTAATAGATGTTTTATGTGAAAATTTTAATTTTTAGTTTTATGTAAAATAATGATATATATATATATATATATATGAAAACAGAATTGGTTGCCAAGAAGGGTGATGAGTGCTTCACGTGTAGCTGGGATAGTGCATGCCTTAGAAGGATGGAACCTCCATGAGTGTGGCCAGAAGATGTTTGACATTGGCCTTGTTTGGGAAGCCACTCTTAAACATGGCTTTAAGCCTCTTTGATCATGATATGATTCCAATTTAGTCACCAAAATAAATAAATAAATAAAAACCCTTCGATTGTACGCAAGTTTGCCTATAACAGTCCTGTTTTATTAGTTCATTCCAAAACTTTAATATCTGTACTGAACTTTTCATTTTTCATGTATTTTTCTCCCCCTTTCTATGTAAGGGTCGTACTACAATATATATTCCTTTTCGGATCAGTATGCATTTATCATTTTTGGGTGTGACCAATTAGGGCTATGAATCAAGTTGACTTATTTTAACTTGACTCGTATTTTACTCATTAAAGAGGCTTACACACTACAATATATTTCCAATGGTAATTGGGTTCATGAATTATAGTTAACAAATAAAACGAGCTACAGTACATTAGTCAAAGTTTCATAATTATCTTATTTAAAGATCATCGCATAAATTTGAGTTGTAGTTTTCAAAATCTCGATATTAAAGTTATTCCCATAGATGATTACTTCCATACGTGTCAAAAGACTATAACTAAAAATTGGGAGTCCCTAAATGTACCTAAAAAATTTTGTCCGACACTTTATTTATAAAAGAAAAAAAATTAATTAATTAATTAATACCATTTATCCCCAATCAAATTACCAAAATGGCCAAACCTTAACCCTAACTATAGCCATCCTTCGACCAGCCCTCCTTAGCTCTAGCTAGCCCTTCCCAGCCTCCTATTTGCCACTGCCACCTCGAGTCCGGATCTTTTGCCGCGTTTCTCTGCGGCCGTCCCTGCGGCGCCCCAAAACGACGTCGTTTTGGGCAAAAATTCAAAAAAAAAAATGACGCAAAAACACAGAATCAGAAGAGGGAGAGGGGGAAGAAGAAAGCAGGGGGAGAGAGAGAGAGGGGAAAGCAGCCTCAACCTCAAGCAAGCACCTGGGCTACAACGGCACCACCATCGGATTCAACCCCTACGGCGATCTCTGGCGCAACCTCCGCCGCCTCACCACCATCCAGATCTTCTCCTCCGCCAACCTCCACCACTTGTAATGTTGAACCAGATCTGAGAGATTCAGATCAAAAGAAGGCCTCAATCAATGTATATATATATATATATGTATACTCTTCGATATATATATATATATATGTATATTCTTCGCTTGTGTTCCCTCCTTAAAACAGAGGTTGGCAGATTGTCAATACATCCATGCTCTAAGCTAAGTTGATTTGCTTGCTCCTAGTATAGGAAGACCCAAAAATTATCACATGAAAAGTTAGGACGGACTTGTATGAAATGCAATTTGAAAAATCTGACAACAGGCATAATGCAGTATGAAGTAGCAAAACAACCCAAACTACAACTCACTTTGTGTGTTAAGAAAAAAAACACAGATGATGAAGTGAAAGAGAGGCTGTGTTTCAAACCCACTTTGTGTTCTTCTCCTCTCTCTCTCTCTCTCTCTCCCCCTGCTTCCTTCTTCCCCCTCTCCCTCTTCTGATTCTGTGTTTTTGCGTCATTTTTTTTTTGAAATTTTGCCCCAAAACGACGTCGTTTTGGAGTGACGCAGGGACAACCGCAGAGAAACGCGGCAGAGGATCTGGACTCCTGCCACCTCCTCTACTCTTTGTCGCTGCCACTTCCTCTCTTTTTTCATCTTTTTCTTCTTCTTTGCTCTACGGCGACCCCCTTCCCTCGCAACAAACCCCCAACCCAATCCCTTTCCCTCATCGTGAACCGCCCTCCTCAATCTTTCCCGTCACGAATCCTAAATCTAGAGTTTTTAGTTTTAGAATATAGAACAGAAGAAGAAGAAGAAGAAGAAGAAGAAAAAGAAGAAATAAAGAAATGGAGTATATGAAGAATAGAAGAATGGAGGGGCTCAGGAGGAGAAGGAATGAGAATAATAATGATAATAATAGGGCGACGGCCTGTGGAAGAGATGGGGAGGCTGCGGTGAAGGAGTGGCATGACGGTGGAATTGGGTTATTTAAGCAGAAAAAACATAACCTAAATTTGAGGTATCTTAAAAACTGGAATATGAATTTTAAGGTAAATTATGTAAATAGTCCCTGTAGCTTACACAACGTGTCAATTTGGTCTCTATAGTTTCAATTTGCTTGATTTTACCCCTTAATTTAACGGATTGTGTCAGTTTAGTCCAATAAATAACGGTTGTTAAGTTAATTTAATGGAAGGTCAAACAATGTGTCAATTTGGTCCCTGTACTTTATACGATGTGTTAATTTGGTCCGTGTAGTTTTAATTTTTTCGATTTTGACAATAACTAAATTGATATATTGTGAAAAATACAGGGACCAAATTGACACATTGTTTGACTTTCTGTTCAATTAACTTAACAACCGTTATTAATTGGACTAAAATGACACAATCCGTTAAATTAAGGGACAAAATCGAGCAAATTAAAACTACAGGGACTAAATTGACACATCGTGTAAACTACAGGAACTATTTACATAATTTTTCCTAAATTTTATGAAAGGATATGTACTATATACGTCTTGATACATATTTTGTGGTATATGTTATGCATTTTTGTAATAAATATTACATAAATATTTTGGTAGAGTTACGACAATATTTATGGTTTAAAAATAAAATTATGCATTTTGTGACAATATTAAATATTTTTGTAATTAAAAATGTTTGAATAAATATGTAATATTACCACAAAATGTATAACTTAATTTCTGAATCATATATTATCGTAACTCTACCACAAAAATACATAATATTTATTATAAAAATACATAACATTTAGAGGCGCATCTCTAAAAATTTGAGGCACATCCAACAAATGTGACTATCAAAGAATAAATTAAATTAGAAAGGTTAGAGAGTGGGCCATACATAAATGCTTGTAGTTAAAAGTGTAACGAGAGCAATTCCAATCAACCTTACCTTCCATTCAATCTCTGTGTCCAGTTTATTGTGACGAAGAACGTTAGGTTGTACATAAATAAAGCCAACTTTATTATTTCATGTCACGAGGAATGTGTCCTCTGTTTTGCAGTAGTTGCTCCAACGTCTTCTCTATTATTGTGTGCTGTTATATCTGCTAATCAAAGGCCTCCATAGATAAAGAACAATTTTATAGTATGGACCTTGACAAATTCATGTGGTGTACTAATTAGTAGTTCATTGGTTGAAATTGTGAAATTTATTACTTTTGCGTTTCATTCTTTAACTAGTGTTTTAGTTTCAATAATATTTTTCACATTTAAAAAGTGTAAGGAAAAAAAAAATTGCATTCAATTATGCCTGTTTTTGGTTAATTACACAAATATTTTTCGTCAAATTTCCTTTTCTGTTATACCAAATGCTAAAAAATAAGAAAAATATTTTTCATTCAAACCAACTAATAGCGTCATTAGGAATTGGATTCTCTTTGGTGTACTTATGAATTTGACACATCTATTTAGGTCCATGGATTTATCAGAGATTGGATTTATTAAAGTCGAAGATCTTCACTTCATGGGTAAAGTTGATGTATTTTGTGACTAATCTATACTCATGACAATGATTTAAACTATTCATCTCATATGACAAACTAAGAAAAATGCATGTAAAAAATTAGATTGATCAAGTATAATGATCAAACCATTCATCTCATATGAAAAATTAAGAAAAATATGCATGTAAAAAATTAGATTAATCAAATATGAATAATCAATAATCAAATCACATATATATTAAAAAATAAGTAGAAATTATTCATTTCAAAATGGACAATTTATTTTTTTGAAATAAATTACATTATGAAATTATTTTTTTTCTAAATAATCTATAATAAGGTCTTACAAAATTAACGAAATAAATCATTAGAATAAAGACTTAGGTGTCGTTTGAGAAGTAGGTTGACTTTTTGGTTTTTTGACTTTTTTGATTATTTTAACTTGGGCTAAAGACCTTGATTTGGGAAGGACTTTTTGATTTTTTACTTTTTTGATTATTTTTGTGAGAGAAGAGTGTAATGATTATGAGTTGAATGTGATATTTTGTTTGTTGTGACTAAAATAACTTATTTTATCTTTTGTGACTAAAATAACTAAAAAAGCCACCAACTCATCTTCCCAAACGGTGCCTAGGATGACTCCATGATCCCGATTGGATGTGTTCAGTCCGCGCATCAGTCCGGATTTAATATTAAGTTATTGGAAAGATTTTAAATTCAAATCAAATATATATGTTTTTTAAATGGTAATAATCAATTATATTTTAATAGAAAATGAAGAGTAGGAAATAAACAAACATGAACTTAGAGAACTGGAGTCGTGGTAATACAGGACGACAACTAACGTTCTTTACACAAAAGTACTCTGTCTCTCTCTCTCTCTCTCTCTACCAACTTGATTGATGAGCTCAACAAACTAACTTTAAGACTGTTAGTTGAGGTCAACAAACTAACTCCGGGACTTTTAGTTGAATTAAAAAAACAACAAATTGATTAATTAATTCAGTAATATTATAAATTTAAAATTTTTAAATAATTTTTTTATTTCATTCAAAAAAATCAATATATAGTATACATTCACTTTTTATATGAATCCGATATAAAACACTCTACGCAATATTTTTCAATTCTGGGTGAATTTGCTAGTAATATTTATGAGACCGTAGTTTTACGGTAATTAACTCAAGGGCATTGATTCAGACTCTCTTGAAACTCCCACCCCCACCACCCCACACACACACACGTGGGGGAAAAGTTGACCAATGAAAAGCCAAAGGGGTCAAGGATGACCCCAAAGGAGATCTCAATCTTTTTATGAGACCGTAGTTTTACGGTAATTAACTCAAGGGCATTGATTCAGACTCTCTTGAAACTCCCACCCCCATCACCCCACACACACGTGGGGGTTGGGGATTGGGAGAGAAGAAAAAAAAAAGAAAAAAAAAAAGAAGAAAAGTTGACCAATGAAAAGCGAAGGGGTCAAGGATGACCCCCAAAGGAGATCTCAATCTTTTTTCTTAACTCAAATAGCCAATAGAAAATTTAGGAATTATGAAAATTTGTCAAGAATTTTAGGTAAAAGTAATATGTGGATTTGATTCAATTATTGTACAGTAATACTTATGTTTAAGTTCATAACATTTTTGGTTCATGGAGATTTATAAGTGAAAAGTCGTGAGTAAGAATTTCATAAATGAATTACTAATTCATTTAAAAAAATTATTCTCTTTTGAAATCACTCTTG